AGTGGGAGTTGTTTCCTCATCCGCCGTACAGTCCCGACCTGGCACCGAGCGACTTCCACCTATTCCCAGCAATGAAGAAGTGGCTGGCTATGCAGCGTTTTGATGACGACGCACAGCTGCAAGAAGAGGTAACGAAGTGGTTGAAGGCGCAGGCGGCCGAATTTTTCGACGAAGGAATTTCCAAGCTCGTACATCGCTACGATAAATGCCTTAATTTGTATGGTGACTATGTAGAAAAGTAGTATTTGAGTGTGGCTTTCATCTGTATATAATAAAATTTGTTTCCTATACTTTGTTTATTTTTTTATTCCAAAACGTAATCTACTTTCTGGATAGCCCTCGTAGTTTCCCTTAGAAAGTCTTCCACATAGGCATCCCTCTCCCCTTAGGCAGATAGCCCTCGACGCTTTGCCGTAATTAAATAACCTAACCTAACCCTTAGAAAGTTCTTTCTTAGGCAGACAGCAGTCGAGTGCTTTGCCATGCGCAAGCAACAGTTTAAATGCGAAAGGTATTTTAAATTTAGTAATAAAACGTTTTGCTGATTTTATTCAGATATTAAGAAAATTATTTATAATGCATAACTAATTGTATGTGAAAACTGAAATTATTTTCCCCATCTTCCCGCTTTAGCTGTCTTTGGAAGGTAATCCTCTTTGAAATATACTGCCCCTCACACATAGCATGTTTAGTCTATATTAACATACCATGAAAATGATGCACAACGACTAATAATGAAAATTTTCGCTTTGAAATCATTAAAATGAGCCTTTTAAATTTACTTGAAACTGCATTTTTTTGCAAGGATGCAGGTCTAGATACGCATTTACTAAGTTAAAAAATTGTCATGAAAATTTAAAAATTTTTCTGCTTCTTTATCTTAAAAAAAAAAAAAAAAAAAAAAAGAACGACATGAAAAGTTAATTTTTATTTTGGCTTTTTAGAAATAATCTAGGCCATAATAAAAGTAAAATATTTATTATGTACTATAAAAGTAAACTATAAATAGTACTATAAAAGTTTTATTACGGTCTTAGGCAACGTTAAAGAATCAATATTTTGTAAAAAAGTTTCCTTATAAGAATACTGGTTTCCAGCATTCTTATAAAGAAACCAGTTTGCTGGTTTCCAGCAGTTGCGACTATAATAGAAATACAATAGAAATTTAAATGCATTAATGGCTGCGGATCATAAATGAATTGAATTTTCTGTCTTTGAGGAAAATATATATTTTCAATTTTATTTCTCTTTTAGGTAATTTAAGAAGCTTTTATCATACATTAAATAATCGTTATTAATTTCAAACGTCCATTAATGAGACATTTTCTAAATTATATATAAGTTTTTCACCGGTATTTTCAAATATCTTAGCAACGAAAATACAGAATTAATAAAGATAAATGCCAAGAAAAGGAAATTATTTTTATATGGTTAAGGAAGGCTTCCAAAAGTTTAAATTTTGATTCATAAATTGCTGAAAATAATGAATATAAAAAAATTCATTTTCTATAATTTTAACCCGAATAAATTTCTGAATGCTTTAATAATAATTCGAAGGAAGCTTACTTTATTATGTCATACCAAACTGACAATTAAAACCTTTAATTACCTCTTCTATATTAGTAAGATTATGTAACGTAATAAAATAATAATATGTAACATTTTTAATAACTGTGAAGCAGTAGTTTCTATATCTTCATCGAAAATAATTTTAAAAAGTTATTATTGCACTTTGTTTGCCTTAATAAGGAAATATTTCTTTCAATTACGAAAAACAATTTCAAGTTATATTGTTCGTACTAATAAATTAAAGATAAATGCATTAAACAAACAGCATTCGAAAAGATTTACTTATTAGTAATGCATACGCTGAAAAATAAATTGCAAAAAACTTACTTTCTGCATACTATTTTTAGATTTAAAATAAATGCAGCATAAACCATCAAAATAGATTTTTATATTTTCCTAAAGTAGATGAATCAAAAACGTTCAGAAGAGTAATATCTAATTTTTTAAAAAAACTGATCCTACCGTTTGTAATAAAATAATAATTTATTTCAGCTTTATAATGAATCAGTTACTCTAAAAATAAATAATTATGATAAAGTACTAAAATTAGGACTAAACCTTAAACCCTATCCGTTACTTGAAACTAAGAAATTCAAGTGGATAAATGCGCTTATGGTTAAGTCTCTTATATTATTTTGACAGTTTAAAGTATTTTGCGATTATTTTGATAATATATTGTGAACCGTTTCTCACTTCAACTAAGAAAATAACCTACGTTTTCCTTCCTAATTGGAAAACTAAGTTATTTGTCATCAGTATCATCATACACATCGACATCTTAATTAGAATATTTCATATCTCCGTCTTCAGTTAAATAATATTTCTTCTCCGTATAGCGATTAAATTGTTTTTTAAAAAATGTTTTTTCTTCCTATCATAATAACTTAATTTTACCACTATTGATATTTTTTTAATTAGTAGTTGTTGATTATTTCGTATAAAGATCTGAAAAACATTAAAAACGGCAGTAAACAATCTATTTTATTACGACATCCACTGAAATAGGTCATTTTTCTTTGACTTGATGATTTAAATTCTTAATTTTTATTCATATTTTTTGTTTATTTCAAAATTAGAATAATTATTTAAATCTTTATCGTTCTGTTCCCGCTACGAACTGCAATCAAAATTATGCAAAATTAAATAGTTCTGCCTTTAATTACAGTTATGTTTAATTACAGTTATGTTTAATTTTTTAAAAACAGTTACAGTTATGTTTAATTTTTTAAAGTTATGTTTACAGTTATGTTTAATTTTTTAAAAATTAAACATAACTGTAAGAGCAACACGTGAATGTTACATTTATTTGAAATATGAAATTAGAAAAAAAGAATTACATATTTTAAACTCATTATATTCCTTATTTCGAACTGTATTATCGTCATTTATTCAAACCAATATACTAAAAGACCTAGCGTATTGATTTCGAATCATAAAAAAGTAAAATCTGGCAAAAGATTATTCGTGAGGTCTATTATTAAAATCGATTTTACTTTTTAAATCATAAGAGAAAGAAATGATAGTGATCACAGAATTTCGGGCCTATCTGTTTTCATTTTCATTTATTTATTTTAGAACAAAATAAAAAGGCATTTTAAAGATATTTTTAATTAAAATGAAATTTGTGCAATTAAGAATTTACGTTTAGGTATAAAAACAAAGTATTTGTTATAATGTATGGGAAGTTTAATACATCAAGAAGATACAATAAAAGAATCAAAAAGAAAGAGTAAAAGGTATTCAAAACGCATGCTTTTGTTTTTAGACCGTGAGATGGCGCTTTTGCAAAAAGAAACAGCAGACGATTCTTCCTGTAGTAAAGTGTACATTCATTTAATAATAGCTATTGTATTTACTCCAAGGATACAAGTTCATAATATTGAATTAAATTTAACTGAGAACATTTGTTCAATTGTTTTTGCTGCAAATACTTTGTTCTAATCTTTTGTTGGGTAATCACATAAGAGAAAATAAGTGTTAAAATCACCTATAAATTTATAACTCTCTTTGAGAAAACATTCGACTCAAATATATCATACAGGTCTTTTACTTAAAACAAGGCATACTGGGCTTTCCGCAGGTGAAAATGTAAATTATCATTCGTACTGCAAGTGATTTTATTTAAAAAATTCCCAGTTTTAAATTAGGACACAGTGCAATATAAAGCAATGAAATCAAGCCTCCTGCAAATCGTTGTAAGCAGCAAGAAAGTGGGAAGCGAACACCAACATGTGTTAATGTGGCCAAAACCCTTATAAACCTATTCTGTTTTCTATGTCTCCAGAAAATTCGCTTTTATTTGTTCATTTATTAGTCCAAAGGGGCTTTGTCTCCGACGGAATATTGTTTCCGTTTTGCGATTTTGCGTCGAATCACTCTGAATGTCCATTTCACTTTTCAACCCAATATCACTTGCCACCAAATATTATCGTCCTGTATTATATTTGAAGAAATTAAATAATGAATAATCTGCATAAATGTATGTATATTTCTCGCATTGGGATAAAACAACGGTACATAGAGCCATCGAATTTTGAATGACGTAATCCTCCTAAGAATATGGGCATGTGGAAGACCAAATTTGAAATTTGGAATTTGTTTTATTATCGATTTCATATTTTATAACGAATTTTTGAGTAACAAACTCAACGATTTAAAAGCGAGCAATGGCAACACTCTACGGTGGGAGAAAAAAAACCTTTTTATCTCCAGCGGGCGCGGAACTGTGTATTCTAAAGATATGCTCCTTTTAAAATTATTTTGCGACATGGCTACTGAACTGAATTTTTTTTATTTAAAATTATTTATTTATATATTTTTATTTACATAAATCTGTTACAGGAGAAAGGATGATGTGCGATGTAAGGCCATTGAAAAATTTATTTGCATGCAGAGTTTGTAATCATCCATATGCGCTACTTACACGTAAACCTATGACTGGAAAAATGTGTACAAAGTAATTGCACACAAGAGCAGATATATATATTGTACTCGAAAAGCGAAGAAAGAGATTTTCTAATTTTTTATTGTACATTTACTATTACTAAAGTTTTTTTCCTTATTGGAATCGTCTGCTCATCTTCTCCAGAACTGAAGAAATGAGATGCTTGATTTCAGGTATGTCTTTTTCAATTTTAATACTAGAGTATTATAGAAACTCTATAACTGTTTAAACAGGAAGAACTTTAAGAAAGGATTAGAAAAAAATTATATTTCAGGAATTTTATTATGCTTGCCAGTTAATGAAATCGATTCGAAATTTTCTGATTAGTACTGAGAGAAATTTTCACATTAGGATGCTCTGAAATACTAGTTGAACTGCATAGAAAATCAAAATATATTTGTGCACGAAATATAGTTTAATTCATCTTGCTTAAATCCCCTTACTTCCCCAAATTTCTTAAATTAATTAAAAATAAAATATTACATACCTCATTACGTATGAATTTTGCAGGAAATGAAACAAGACACAGCTAAACGCTTAGACTTCCCTCGATAATTTAATCCCTTAGTTCCTTTCACTCTAGATGTAAAGTACAAACAAAATATCTTTTCCAAAGTCAGCTCCCACGTTTTTTGGTTAGAACCAGTCAGACAATTTTGGAAAAGAAAAAAGAAAAAGAAAAATAGGCGATATTATATAGCGTAGTGTCCTACACGCGGTTGCAGCTATCGAAGCAGTTGCGCGTGTGTGTTTGTTCATCGGAGTGACAGAGCAACAGGTTCGAAGAAAGTTGTTTTCCCCTTTCCTTCGTAGATTTTCCCCCATTATTGCTCTTCTCCCTATGACCCAGCTTCTCCCAATTCAGTAAAAGGCAAGAAATGGCGAAATGTATGTTCGTTGCTCAGCGCTGAATTTTATGAATGTATTAAATTATTAAAAATATTCTTGTTCTCATTTCCAAAGTGAGTCTTCGCATATAAAGAAGTATTAAGGGCAGAACTAATTTTAATTTAAAAAAAAACTATCCCCGCATTTTAACATTTAAGTAATAACTTTGATGAAATGACTAAAAGAAACGTGGGCATCAAAAGTACTAAGTATTCAAGAATAGAGGGAAAATTCAACCCCTTCGTAAATTATCATTCTATATTGTGCCTAATTTTGTGATGTGTTACAATAATTGTTTTACTTTTGTATCTATATTCCTCATTTAATTTCCTTAAAAATTTCCGCTTTGTACTTAATACTTACACGATATAGATATATATCCAAAGAAACAGGATGTAAGAAACAAAAATTTCACACAGGAACAACAAATCTAACAGAGATTTTAATTATTGAAGGAGTTAAAGAGGGTGGAAGAGAAAAAGGGGAAAAAAACTGAAAGCTTTTATATTTTACGTTAAGCCCAAAGGGGCGTTTTTTTAACGTTCTGTGGTCTTTATTTATTAAATATCATGGTCTTCGCACTTAAATTATAAAATTCAGTTCAACAGCAACATCCCAAAATAATTTTAAAATGAGCATATCTTTAGAATTTCCGACACATAGTCTCGCGCGCTGCAGATAATTTCTTTTTTTTTTTTTTTTTTTTTTTTTTTTTTTTTTGTTTGTTGTTGCCAATTCTCGCTTTGAAATCGTTGAGTTTCTTAATCAAAAAACTCATAAATGTTTTACAAAATATGAAACAGATAATAAAGCAAATTCCAGATTCCCAATTTGGGCTTCCAGTTGCCTATATTCGGATGGAGACGTGCGTTATTCAAAATTGGATGGCACTACGTACCGTTGTTTTATCACAATGCGAGAAACAAGCATACATTTATGCAGATTCTTCACTATTTAATTTCTTTAAATATAATACAGGGCTCTAATATTTGGTGGGAACAATTTGAAAAGTAAATCAACGTAGAAAGTGAATCGACGCAAAATGCGAAAACGAAATTAATACCCTTTCTGGGCTAACGCCATTTGGGCTAAAAAAAACACAAATAGCCCATTTGAATTCTCCTCAAATTATAACATCTGCGATGCCAGAACACTACTAATCCAGGGGCAGCACAAAATGAATACATCTGTAGATAAACAATTTATGCATGTTAGCAACATCATCAAATCACTGACATTCTCTAGGAAAAAAATGGAGTGTGAATACAAATACCGACATACTCAACATGACTTTATCAGATTCGACATCTGCGGTCCACAGGAAAGCGAATGGAAAAAAAGAAGAAACCCTTTCACACAGGAAATGATTGCCATGTTAGATATTCCAGACGTTTTACATGGAATGTCCATGAACTGAGATGATGACATATCTGATGACATCCATAGTGATGATGAAGAATAACAGTTGCTAAATTAATGGTTCCTAAATTATGAATAAATACCTAGTTTTTAGTTTTTTTATTCTTTTATTGCGAAATAAATATATAAGAAGTAACTATTTTTTATCTGAAAGGTCTTAAAACTCTTATATTATATAGCGCACCGCTAACCCCCTTTTCCCTGTTTCAAATGTCTTAAAATCTTTGGCACCTCTGCATGCGGCAGTTTTCATTCTCCATGTAAATTGTATTTAGGTTCTTAACCTTTTTTGCTTCATGAACCCTTTTCACCATTGTAAGAAGTTTATTCCCCCCTCGTTTCCAAAACGTAAAAAATACGTATACAGTTATTTAAATGTATATAATTTTTTTAAGTGTTTTATTAACTAAACAACAAAAGGTATAGAAAATAATGGTAAATAACAAAAATTTAATAATAGCAGTTTTTTATTTTCATAAACTAAAACTAAATACTGAAAAGTTCAATAAAAGGTTAGCTGCATCACCACTGAAACTATGAAATTTCCCCCTCCGGGGGAGGGGAATTCCCTTCTGGTTTAGAATCCTTTTCAAATGCATTTTGTATCAGTAGTAATCGTCTATAACAGATATGGCTAAATGCAGCTCCCTGGCAATTGCAGTAGCTTTGTTTTTGAAATGTAATTGAATTTCGAAACAGAAATCATGCAACGGATTGCTTCATTATCAGTCAGTGCTGTAATGTTTTAAAATTACAGTATGGGTGCAATAATTTGATCAATTTCATATTGTCCGCTTTCAGAGTAATAAACAAAATGGCAAATAATTTACTGTGGTCCCATTGGTTTTAAAGCAATAGGGCCATCAGGGCGGCTTAGTGCCGTTTTGTCCTTTTCTGATTCATCCTCAGCTCAAAATTGTGAAATTCACCCGCTTTTTTTCCTCACCGATTTCCTCTTCCTCGTTTCATACCCTGCTCGGATACCCTGCTCATTTCATACCCTCCTGCATACCTTTTGATATCTTGAACACCTGCTGTCATCAATTAAAACAGTTTAGAAGAGGTGACCCTTAATAATTTCACCTAGCTTAGCTTCGATTTCTAATATTGTCCACTAAATATTTCTTTTAGACAATTTATTCTGAGTAGAATAACGGATTTTAGGCCTGTTTAAAATATGCACATGTGAATCTGGTTATGATTTTGTTATATAGTGTGCAAGTTTTTTAGTTTCATGTGCTTTTAAAAGCAATAAAACTACGACTCCACTGCTTTAAAAAAACAATAAAAATGTAACAGAACTATAATTAAAACTAATGCACATAATTTATTAAAAATATTGCGAATCTTTTTTAAACATACACGTAAGGTATTTCTCTCGCCTTCCTAGCGTACCTTCGTGATGTAGTGGTTATGCACGCTGGGCCGGTATTTCAGAGGTCCTGGTTTGATTCCCGGCAAAGACGGTTGCTTATTTTTCATCTCTCCTGCTTCCTTTAAAATACCTAATGTCTCTACAGTGGCGCCCGAACTAAAAAAGGTTTTGGATGATGATTCTCCTCACCCAAATTTTGACGATTGGGTCCCCTAAAAATCCCCGTCGTTCTTTAAAAGGGAGAGATAGATAAGGGAATTACTTTAATATAATATCAGTTTTAAAAACTGACTGTTTATCTAAAAGAGATTTAAGTGCACTATAACTGAAATTTTTTTTTCACAGACCGCTGTTATATAAATTTACTTGTTTTCTTTACATTTTTCATCATATATAACTGTATACAACTGATACATGACAAAATGCATAACAAATTATTAAATATTAAAATTTTTAAAAAGTAATAGTAATTTTTCTATTATTATACATAATACTACTGTTTATGAATGAGAAATTTTAATAATATTAAAGCACTGAAAAATCTGAACGAGCAGAAATCTGAATTTTACTGCACATATACTTAAACATATATATTCATATTATTTCCAAAATTGTATTAGAAGTCTATTATATGTCTAGTTATCATTTTTAATCTTTAAAAACATTGGTAACATGATGCAATCAAATACGTTGAAAAATAAGAAGATCACGATGAGGAGGATAAAGGTATGAAATTGGCATACAGATGAAAAAAGTTCCATGGAGCTGGTGAAGAACTGAAGACTTCACACCATTTGTTAAGCAAAATTCATCTGTCTCATCACATGTTGCTATGAAACATATCATTGCACACACAATGTATTTTTAAAGCTCACGACTTTGTAAGCAGGCAGACTTCCTTAGTTACACTATGCCGCCGTGCTAAGAAATTCACAACATGTTCACATGATAATACATACTCTAATTTTTAAATTCTACTTGAATTTTATTCTATGAAATGAAATTCATGAATTTTATTCTATGAAATATAAAACTATATGTATATGCCTTTAATTTTTAAAATTTCCCCAAGAATTTTTTATTAATTATTTAATAACAAAGCTAAATCGAAAAAACGACCAACGAAATTTGCATGCTGCAATTTCTATGGACGGCATTACAAAACTTAAACATGTCAATTCCCGAAATATACACTACCCGACATTGAAATGCAATACCAAAAAGGAATGGCCCGAAAATTATGCATATTTCAGGGTAGACGCACGTTACCGAGTTATGAGAATGATGTGAAATGCGCAGCTCTCCGGCGCACGTTGAAAATGATATAAGGAAAGAAACCTTCAGAATGTTCCATTTTCGTGCTGTCATTTCTGCTAGGGAAAACATTATAGAAAATTTTTTCTTGTCTCAGAGGACGAGTGTAATAGCAGATAATGTCAAGCCGTCCTCAACGAAGGCAGTTCCAGCAGACAAGACGATTTTACGAGGGGCATGCTGATCGGACTGAGAAGGGCAGGTTGGTCCATACGGCAAATCTCAGATGACACATGCCTGGACAAGTTCACGGTGCACCGGCTGTGGCGACGATGGTTGGAACACGGAAATGTGGCAAGTTCCAGGGGTGCTGGTACAACCAGAGTGAAGCCAGCATGTGTGGATCATAGCATCCGCCGACAAGCGATGACGCACCCGTAAGCCATTTCTACCTCCATTCTGCAGCATGTTCAAGACACCCAGGATATTCCCATATCGACCAGAATCATTTGCCGTCGATTGGCGGCTAATGGTATGGCCGTCGATTGGCGGCTAATGGCGTATTTTAAGTTTCGATTTTTGCTTCTGTTCTAAACCTGCCATCCTAAACCTAGTCTACTACAGTGCCCAAATGCTCAGTCATTACGACGTCTTATGCTTAACTGAATTATTCAAGAATGATATGCATCAGATTAATGCGGAAGTGCTGATTTCATATGGATGATAAGCACCAGAATGGCGATTATCGATAAGAAAATCTGATAAGTAATCTTATTGAAAT